CAAAGTAGTTTAGTATTTAGACGATTTGAGAATGTCCTTCAACATATATAGAATACTAACGATTGATTGTACATTATCTTTCACTGGTCTTTGTAGTCCCACTTGTGATCAAACTGAACTGTGCTAAATGGTAAATGGACTCGTTCTTATATAGCGCATTTCTACTCTATCTGAGCACTCAAAGAGCTTTCTACAACAAATTCATTCGGCCAGTCACACCCATTCACACAAGCACCTTTTCTAAGCTGTTAGTGCCTATCTAAGATTCATGCACATTCACACTCCAATGGATGCATCGGTTAGTATCTTGCCCAAGGATATTTGGCATGTAGACTAGGGGGAAGCCAGTAATCAAACCACCAATCTTCTGATCAGTAGATGACCTGCTCTACCGCCTGAGCTACAGCCCACCCCTAAGCTAAAATGCTTAGGGTTTTAGAAATGAGCCCTGTAATAAAATTATCTGGATGCAACTGGGGCAGAAAGGGGCATTGAAAAGACTCAGCTAGCGCTAATTTCCCAAAACTATATTTTGCTGACGAATGAATAACTGGTGTCATCGTGCCTGCAAATGACTGGCCACCTTGTTTCTGACTCATCAGAGTTCAGCTGAATTCTGGCACTGCCAATTTACCCAAACAAAGAGCCAGTGATGAAGTGGCAGGCCATAGCCCTCTAACCATTGTCCTTCTTAATGAAGCCGCAGAGTGGGTATGAGAGCTGCTCGGCATCAGAGAGGTCACAGGTTCTCTAGTCATTGTGTAGTAAACATCGCGCTACAGACCAGGCAGTGTTTCCATCAGCCAGTCTCATACTGACTCCGCATTTTCATATCACCTGATGCAAACAGGCAGGGAAAAAAGGGCATAAAAACCATTTAATAATTCTTAAACATGCAACTGAGCAGGTGTTTGGAAAAGTAATTTAATCTACATTTTGATCACCCATAAGCATCTATACATAGTAAATTAGTTAATGCTTCGCCCTCTTACTTGACACAACACAGTGGCAAGTTGAGCATAGTATCAAAACATAACTACATAGAAAATCTTGCATGTTAATATGACCCTTAAAGCTGTCCAGAAATGCATGTAGGTTTTGTCCAGGGGAGTTATAAGAAAACAGACCAAAGAGCCAGTGTAACAAAGCCTACTGGCATTACTGTGTGAGATTTTGCTGGTAATTTTTCCCTTTAAACTGATGCTCAAAGTTGGAAAACAATTCTCAAACAAAATTTTGGCATTAGATTTGGACACTTGATTGATTTGAGTGATGTTTTTAACAACACCTAAATGTGTTTTTTAGCCCTGAAGATAAGGTGAAAAAATAATACAGATGAAATGACACAAAATTTAGCCCGTTGTCTACTTTGAGGGCCTGCAACTTGGAAAACACTCACAGTATGAAGCTAAAATTTATACATGACTTCATTTGATATACTAAAGTTGTGTGGAAATCACATGTAGATAAAAATCATTTGATTATGAGGGTGGTTGGAGAAGTCGTTTTCTCACATTTATTTGCTTCTGTATAAAATCAACCTGTTACAGAGCAGCTGCGTCTGCTTGCACTAAAACTTAAATAAAAGTAACTGGGAATTGTGTCGTAAGCATCGACTGCAATGACTTAAATCTTTTGTCTCATATTGTCAAGGCTTGTTTGTATACAGTTATGTTGCCATGGTTACCCTTCTGCACATGAAATATTGTTGGGAGTTACAGAATCAAGAGCAGGGCATCACCTCGCTTATGGAAAGCCCCTGAAATGTAGCAGTTGCACCGGATGCTCAGTTTGATAATGACTGAAGTACAACTACAGCCTATTAATACTTTCATTCTCAGAGATTCAAGTAGATTAAACCTTACATTATTCTCATAGATCCTTTTAGACTTGGGACGGATTGTCTCAAAAAGTTGCTTTTGTCTTAAAGGCAACATTCATCAGGTGATTTCCATTATGTATAACATATATAATTACTTTCATTATGGACAAACACCTGATTAAGGTCTGTCAGGGGCTTATTTTGTCATTCCAGCAGTCTTCCAGAGACCTCACTTCCTATGTTGTACACTTAGTTACTGATATGTCCTTTTTTCTTAACCAGCATATGCTCACTATGCTACTATGCTAACTTTTGTGGATTTAAATGTGGTGTTTGTATCATGAAATTAAAACAAGAAGGTGTTTTCATAAGGTGTTGTAGGTGCATTATATAGGTGCACAGTTCAATTTTGTGGATAAAAATAAAATTTTGTGTGAAATAAAAATGATATGGTGATTTTTATAAGGTTCTGTAAGGTGCAAAAATGCGATAAATGAGCCATATCAGCCCATTGGTAGGTGGTTACTAGGCAACATGATGTTTAAATATATGACATACATAAGAACACCTCTAAGGTGTAGCTGTGTGCCAGGTTTGGTAGCTAGCTCCTTGTGGTTTTAGGATCAGTTCAGGGATAAAGAAACAAACACACAGACGGAGATTGTTTGTTTTAATAAGAAGGTTTTCTACTTTTCTCCTCCTCAGATGCAAACTATAAAGTGTGTGGTGGTGGGTGACGGTGCAGTGGGAAAGACATGCCTGCTCATCTCATACACGACGAACAAGTTTCCCTCTGAATACGTTCCTACGGTGAGTAGTCTCAAATAACACGATTAACTTTTTCACTTCCCCAAAGTAATAATACTTGAAATGACAGTGAGCTGACGCACAGCAGCAGCACGGGCCACTTTATCCCTTGTAACACCCAGTGTGCAGGTCTGTCCTGTGGAGTGATACTCATAGATGGGTAACTGCTGTATGTAGGTTACATAAACAGGTTTCTGAAAAAAGTATCGTCAGTATCGACGCCACTGTATTTACAGCATGCACATACCTTTCCAGTTCAGTGAGAGAGTGTCACTCATATTTCAGCTTCACTTTTATTTCTAAAAGATGGGAATGAGTACCAAAACTTGGTAGGAGTACACTGTAGTAAAACTCTGGAGTCTTTTAAGAACTGAAAGGACCAAGATGGGTCATTTATGACTATTATATTTTATACTGAAATATTTTTTTAATGGCTTCTGATGCGTTAACACACATCACCTTCAAAGAAGATTACATTTCATTTATTTGTACATAAACGTATTGCATGTACTGCGGTACGAGTGTATCATTTTAATAACAAAACAGGATGAACTTTACTTTGATCAATAACAAGTCTGAATCAAGTCATTGTAGTCAGGCTGTTTGTTCATCCTTTATTTTCATTATGCTGTGTGAAACGATATATAAGCAAACGTCTTGCTTGTAACTGTAACATTTCAAATATTTTGCGCAGATAAATTCAAAACGAAGCGTGCTGCAGCAGTAACTCTCACTTCTCTAGGTCTGTTAGGAGTGTTCCACAGCAAAACATCATGTAGTGGTTGAGAAGTTGTAGAAGAAGTGCATTGGCAAATTAGTGATGTGAAACTTTCTTAATGTGAAGCACATATAAATATGTCTTTTTTTTTTTAATATAAAATCAACAGACTTCAGTAGTCATTTCAAAGCTTTCTATGTGTAAATATGTCTGAATGTAGAAGTAGAAAATTACAGGTCATCCAGGAATTTAATTGTTTGAGACAAGCCTGTAGTTTACTAATTTATGTGTTTCCTAATCTAATTGTGTGTCATTGTCAAAGAAATCAAAATATGTGCAAGTTTTCTGTGACATAGAAAACATGTATAATGAGAAAAATATTGGTCCTAGCACAGAACCCTGTGGAACGCCACGACTAAAGTTTGGTCAACAAATGGTCATAAATGATACAAAAATATGTGAAATTTCATCAGATAAGTTAAAGACCCGTCTCCTTTAGTTTACCTAGACCAATCATACACACATCCATGTCCCTTTAAATTTTCTGTGCTCACACAAGCTTTTATTATATTACAGTGCATCAACTATGCACGTGCCATTCAAGCAGAGGTGAGGTGGATTCAAGGAACAATAAAACACCTTTTCAGACACTCAAACTGAAACAAAGCTTTTTGCATTTGGTCTCACTGTGTTCATTTATAGTAGGCAAAGTTTGTATGAGACGTGACGTTTGGTCTCCAGATATATCCAGTGTTTTCTAATAACATTTCTAGTGTTATTATAACTCTTTCAGTCAGCAGCACCTTGAAATTACATCATATATTTTTCTCAAATATCTTAAACCAGGGGTCGGCAACCTGCGGCTCTTTAGTCCTTATACTGCGGCTCTGCGTGGTTTGGGAAAATAAATTAGAAGTTTTTAGCTGAAGTGTATTTTATTTATGTTAGTTCTTTTTTAACTTGTAGTTCTAAATTGGAAGATTATTGTGATTTTGAAATATAAAAATAAAATTATATTTTATTATTTTTTCATCGCTCAAATAAGCATCACACTCGCGGAAGCCGGTATACCCGCTGAAATGCCGTGCTTTTATCGAGACTTTTAACCCCAGGAAGGCCAAATATGGATCTTCGGATCCACATTATGTCAGCAGCTGTTCTCCACCGCGAACTATGTTAAAAACAAACACCGCTCACGCCTCACAGATGACAGCTTACAGTCCTGCGTAAAGATGAAAGTGACTTCGTACAGCCCTAATTTGCAGACGCTATGCGCAGAGGTTCAGGAGCAGAAGTCCCATTGTAAACATATCACGGCAGACCCGACGATGTTTGCATGAACACGCTTTTCAGCATCTCTTTATTGACCACTTTTCACACACGGTTGCTGTACGCATACTGCCGGCTGTAGCGTTTCAGCTCACAGCCCGACACAGACCAACAACAACACAACAGCACAGACGTTAAGGTGGCGAGGCGTGATTGTGTGTTCCGCTCAGGTACGTCCGCCTCCCCTGCACCGGTGCTGCAGACCACGCCCCCCCACACACATTAACCAGGTAAAATACATATTTAGGCAGAGTTTTGCAAATATCTATTTTTCAGTTTTCAGCAGCATAGTGCTTTTTTTCAATTATTTTTTAAAAGTCAGGTCAAGGCTCCAAAAGCCCAAAGGTGATATAAGGTCTGTTGTCTTTCATGGAATATTTTTTCTCAATATAGATTTAAACCATAATGGTCATCAAACATTTTTACATGGAATAACTTGGTTGACCCACTTTCCTCTAATCTTTATTGAAAAATGGTTCCTAAATTAAATTTGTGCTGATGTTACAGTTTTCAAGGTTGACACATGATCAAGTTGGACTTTTCTTTATACCTATAATAACACGATGAAAAAAACTAAATGTTCTTGATAGAGAGTGAGAAATGTTAGAAAAGGAGACACTACGTTACACTTCGAGGTCTGTTTCTCGTACTGCTGAGCTAACAGAGCCAAATATTGATTAAGCTCCACCTTAGATTTAAGCTGACATCTTGATAAATGGTAACTGGTTCTTATGTAGTGCTTTTCAGCTCTGTTTATACGACATGGCCCTTTCATACAAACACTTATTGTTTATACTTTAGTGCTTTCTATCCACCAGACACACACACTGCTACTCCAATGAACGCATTGCAGATCCAACCAGCAACTTTGCGATTACGGATGAACCGCTCCTGACCTCCTGAGCTACAACTTCTCTGTTAGGCAGAGAGAGGTTGTGACAGTTCACACACAGAAAATGCTACAAGTTAAATGTTGCATATAAAAATGAAGGGCTTAAAAGTTATTATAATACGCTTGTTAAATGATGACTTATAAACCCTGCTACTGGGTCCAAGCTCCTGCATTCATTAAGCTGCCCTCTTTTAATAGCAGCACCCTTTTGCACTCAAGCATGAACCTGGATGATATTTTGGTAAAAAGTTATTTTTCACACCTTCAAGAGTTTTGCACATCATTTCCTGAAGTGGTAAACTTTCTAGCGCTCGCTGTTTGTTCTGATTCTCATACACGTTTGTGTCGTTTTTGGTGCGTGCAGTCGGTGGTTTCATGTCTGTACCTGCAGGGTTAGAAATGTGTGCTCGTCTCCTGACATCCTGTTTGATTCGTGACTATTCAAAAGTGTTGCGTCACGCTGCAGCAGCACGATGAGGAAGAAGCTCTGCAGCGTGACGCAAATGTGGTCCATGTGCGCCTCAGCTCAGCTGATCCTGCGTTCTCTGACTCTGTGGTTTGTTGCCGTCAGAAAGCGGCTTGCTGAGCGTCGACAGGCTCTGCAGCCCTGCTAGAAATATCTGAAATGCCTCCTAATTGATGATGGGTAGGGTCTGTGAGTAGGGACTGCAAACTGATGAGTAATTGTCTTCTGTTTTCTGCTGGTGCCACTGCTTGGTCTGTCAGCAGTCAGCACTGTTTGAGAATTGCAGAAGCAACAGTGCTGACTCAACTTTTATCTTTCTCTTCCTGTCAGACCGTCCATCTCACTCACCTCGCTTCCACTCCACTATTTTTAACTCTTCAGTACAAATGTTGTGCAACCAATTCTGTTTGAATTTTTATTACGATTTTTGGCGGCCACCAATTACTAAAACAAGAACACTTAAGTTAAAAAAATGCACTTTTTTCCAGTATTACTACGGCTGTTAATGATTATTGTTGTCGTATAAAAGCACAACCTTCACATCTAGACTGTTTTGCAGCTTAAACAACAGTAGTATTTGCCATTTTACCTCTTTATGATTCCAAAACCTTATCAAGATCAGAAAGTACTTTAAACTTTAATGCATTTAAAAGACCAATGGGACCAATGGGTACCAAACGTCTCACAGAGCCTTACGGTCCGTGGCTCAGGGGTTGGGGACCGCTGCTTTAATAGGCTCGCTCTTCCCCGGGCTGTATGTTTGGCGTACCTCGTATATGCAGGAATAGTCATGTCAGTATTTATCTATTATTTGTTTATCTACTTTATTTCAAATGCATTGTTTAAATGCCACATTGTTGTTATTCCATTATTTTTCAGTGCATATGAGCTTTCCCTTTCATATTTAAAAATGCGCTCTGCTTCTTCTTAAACTCAGTCAACAAGAGTAGAAGTGAGGGCATCACACGACCACCTCGGTTTGCCGAGACTGGACTGTTTGCTTTCTGGCTGCTCTTCTTAGTTTTCTCAGTCCTGTTTGAGCACTTTTATTACCCACTGAAAAAAATTATGTAAAAACACATCTTAACGTATTAGCTGTTTGTAGTTCTCAGCTC